CACCCACCAGACTGTGTAATAATCTACATTGCAGTTTTTTAATTTATTTATAATAATTGGGTGTGACACAGTGTCAAAGGCCTTTTTAAAGTCTAGGTAAACAACATCTACCTCTGTTCCCTCATCCAAGCATTTTGTGACCCAGTTGGTCAGGCAGGATCTGCCTGCTATGAACCCATGCTGATTGCCCCTTAGCATTATTTTACCCACTGGTCCCCGCAAATATGATCTTTAACTATTTTCTCAAAGGTCTTGCCAAGAATAGAGGTGAGGCTAACCAGCCTGTAGTTACCTGGTTCCTCCTTCCTCCCCTTCTTGAAAATAGGGACCACACTGGCCCTTTTCCATTCCTCTGGGACTTGTCCTGAGCACCACGAGTGCTCAAACAGTTGTGCCAGTGGGTCCGCTGTGACTCCAGCTAATTCCCCAAATACCTGAGGGTGAAGATCATCAAGGCCTGTTGACTTAAATACACGAGCCCCTCCAAATGCCCCCTTACTAGGTCTGCATGAACTGCTGGTTGGTTGGTTGGTATCTGTCTAAAGTCCAAATGGGATGCGTATTTGTATTCGTGTCCAGGAACACGGATGCAAAGAATTCATTTCGAATCTCTGCTTCAGCCATCCTATCTGTTACCAGTTGTCCTTGTTCGTCCTCACATGGATGTCTTCGGTGCACGAGAGGCTTTCTGGCCTGGCTTGCCCTCCGTGTTGAAGTTCTCTGGATACTGGTGGGATCCAGGCTGTGGAGGCCAGGCAGGGCTCTTCTCTCCTGTGCGCATAGTGCGGGCTACCCCATGACAGGTATTTCTTCCCTCCTCTGACCTGGGGCCTGCGCTGGCCGTGCCGTTGGGCTGTCTCGCTCCCCAGCATCAGGGTCGAGAGCTAGTGTGGTAGAAGCTGCAGAGAAGGGGCTGTTGCAAGGTACCACTGTGTCATCCAGCTAGTGGTGGCAGTGTGTGCGCCTGAGCCCCTTCCTCATGAGGGGCAGGATGGGATGACTGTGGTGCCAGGGCAGCCCCGAGGGAGGTCAGAGACAGTGCAGGGAAGCAGTTGCTATGGATACGGGCCCCCGCAGTCTTGGAGCTGGTCCTGTGGCTTTGTTCCCAGGCAGCCGGGGCTGCTCAGACACGGCAGGTTCTGAAGCAACCCGGTCTTTTTGCTTCTGAGTGCTTCTCTTCCGTCCGTGGGGGGCTCTGAACGGGCCATGGGACACGGTACAGGCTGCTCCGAGGCGTACTCGTGGTCTCCAGTTTTTCAGCCTCCAATAGTCAGAGCCAGGGACCCTGCTTCCGGCTGACAGAGCCTGGCCCAAGGCTGCGGTGAGGCTGGACAATCTCCCGGGCTCTGGCCGCAGCTTTGTCAGAAACACATTAGCAACGTCTCTGAAAGGAAGGGCTCGGGCTGCCTTCGGGAGGGTGCAGGGTGTTTGCTTTCCTGAGCAGGAGGCAGCAGAGGGTTAAAGCAGATTCCCACCGTAAGTGGGAGAAGATCGTCGCGCGGCAGAGGCAGCACAGCCCATGGCAACAGGGCAGCGATGTGCTGAGGCAGCATCTTAGGCCGTGGGAGCGGCGCTTTCTTCCAGCGCTCCCTGGCTGCCTCTGTGCAGTCCAGGCCCGTGAGCTGCCCCCGTGGTGAGTGTCACTTCCTGCGGGTGATCGCGCAGGCCACGAGGCCCCCGGGCACTGCCCACTCTGCCATCCAGGTGGTAGGGTGCAGCTGCGGTTCTGCGGGGGTCTGGCAGGAGAGCCGGCCTGGGCGTGGGGAAATAGTGAGCGCTGCCTTGGTACCAGAGAGGTGGGCCTGGTGGCTTCACCCCCAGAACAAGAAATGGGGATGGTGTCGCCCGTTGCCCAAGGCATCTCCTGCACTTCTGGTCTCTCTGGGAGTCAGTCTGGGCACATCTTACCCAGGGAGGCTTAAGGAGCTGGTGTGACCTGCACCCATCACGCTTGGGTGGGGGCTGCTGCTGGCTCCGTGCTTTCTGCACCAGGCGCCTTCTGCCGCTTGCTGAAGTGTATGCGTTCCTTGCACCGAACTGCGTGGGGGATGCCCTGGCCCATGTCGGGCAGCTGAGAGCAGAGGGATGGGCCAGGAGGGGCAGGGATTTGCCTCTTGCGATGCAGGGAGAGTGCCCACGCTGGCAGGGTGTTTTGGGGTGCTGGACTCGAGCCATCCTGGTCCGCAGGCCTGATTGTGGAGCTGTGCTGCATCACTGTCAGCGAGTCTAAGGCTGGGTGCAGGGCCTGGATCCTGGCTTCCCCCTGGGTTGGAGAGGCAGGGCTGTGGGTCAGGACAGCACCAGGTCACCGGTCGGCAGTAGGAAGGCTGGACCCGTGTGTGCTTGCTGTATGCAGGGTAGCCGCCTCCCTTTTGGAGGCCTTGGCTGCAGCCCCAGCTCGCTCTGGAATTCAGCTTTCAGAGACTGCGTGGCATTGCAGAGACGCTGCAGCTGCCCACAATAGAGGATATTCAGCTGGGCAGCTTCAATGGGGCCTTCTCATGGTGCATCCTGGGCCGGAGGGCACTGGTCACAGTGGGGGAAGGGCAGGTTGCTCGGGGCTCCAGCGAGGCCCATGGATGTTTGCTCAGAGGTGGTGCTTCTGCAGGGTCAGACCCTGTGTCCACAAGGCACAGCTGGGGAGTGCTGAGCTTGCTCCCTGCCCTCCATCACGGGCAGGGTCGGCCACTCTGTTCGTAGAGTCAGTGAGTCAGAAGGGGCCTAGACAGATCATCGAGTCCGACCCCCTGCCATGGGCAGGAATGAGCACTGGGGGTGGCAGGGGTCATAAGACCCCAGCCAGGTGCCTATCCAGTCTCCTCTTGAAGATTTCCAGGGAAGGTGAGAGCACCACCTCTCTGGGGAGCCTATTCCAGGCTCTGGCCACCCTTACCATGAAGTAGTTCTTCCTAATATCCAACCTTAACCTGTTCTCCCTCAGCTTGTGGCCATTGTTCCTGGTGACTCCAAGGGGGGCCCTGGTGAACAGACTTTCCTCGTGTCCCTGCTGCTGCCCCCTGATAAAGTTGTAGGCAGCCACAAGATCCCCCCTCAGTCTCCTCTTGCAGAGACTGAAGAGAGTCAGGTCCCTCAGCCTCTCCTCATAGGGCTGGCCACGGAGGCCCCTGACCATATGAGTGGCCTCCTCTGGACCCTCTCCAGGTTCTCCACGTCCCCCTTGAAGCGCGGCGCCCAGAACTGGACACCGTACTCCAGCTGCGGCCTGACCAGCGCCACGTAGAGGGGGAGCAAGACCTCTCTGGACCTGTTAGTGATGCCCCTGTTGATGCATGACAGGGTGCGGTTGGCTCTACCTATTGCTTCATCGCATTGGCGACTCATATTCATCCTGGAGTCAATCCTGACTCCAAGATCCCTCTCTGCCTCTGTGCTGCTGAGAGGGTGTTGTGACCAGCACAGAGCCATGAGCCCAGGCCTGGCACGTCCTAGTTCTGGAGCTCCGTGGTCCAGCAGGAGACTTGCAGTTCGTGCTGCGAGTCCCGTCTGTGGGGAGGAGGTTGGCTGGACAGGCTGACAGCTTCGGGGTCATATGCAAAGACCCCCCTGCCCTCCCAGAGTGGGCTCTGAGTTGGCCTGCCCTTCCCCATGGTGACACTCGTTTCTGCAGGTTAGGGAGCGCTGCCAGCACTAGGTTGCCTTGCTGTCTCTCAGGGGCTGTGGTTGCCCATCACAGGAAGCAATGGTGGCCCTGCAGCACCTCTGCAGAGATCTCTGGCACTGCCCAGGCACGCATGCTTCCCAGGAGGAACAGCTACTTGCGTGAAGCTCCCTCTTCCTTGGGAGCACCCATAGGCCGGGTGCCTGGAGGAACTGTGAGGTAGGGAGGATGCAGTGATCTGCCTGGGAATGGGAAGTTCTCCCAGTTGCTGGTGGGTGAGCACCTAGGAGACTCTCTAGACCTCTGCCAGTTGCAAGAGGCTGCTGCATCCACTCGGCCCTGCCAGGCTACGTGTCCCAGCCCTGCTCTCCATCCTTATGCTGCACCTGGGTCAGGTTCTGCTCCTCAGGGCTGACACTGCCTCTGCCCACTCGCTCTCGGGAGGGCTGCTCCTGGGTCCTGTCCCCACGGAGGGGTTGGGGAATTATACTCCCTACCACCAGGCCTCATCTGCTAGGAGGGGTATTCCTAGACTGCAAATGGACCCCTGGCAAGGGTCCATGGAGGAAGACCTTTCTGATCTCACTTAAGGTGCTTGAAATCTCCCAGCCTGAGAGGTGAGGGGAGTTCCCATCTCCCCTGGTGGTTTGTGACCATAGCCCTGAGGGAGCAAGGCAAACCCCTGCCTGCAGAAGCAAATGCATCACAGGCTGGGAAGAGGGGAGCCAGGCAGCACTACCTCACAGCGCAGGCGAGGGTACGCAGATGGTGCACAGTGCTCGGTCCTGGGGAAGGGGCTGCGCTTGCTGGGGTCACAGCTGGATGTGGCAGGCACACGTTGGAGGGTGCTGTGTGCCTGTCAGAGCGCTCAGGCCCCTTCGTGCTGCCAGGAGCTTGTGTTGCAGCAGCCCAGCGGACCAAGCCAGAGGGGGGCGTTTGCCCTGGGTGCCCCACTCCAGTCTGGGCAGCCCTGGTGGCAAAGGGGCGGAGTGGCTTCCAGGGAAGAGGCAAAGGTGTTTGGGGTGGGAAATGAACATATTGGGCTAGAGTATGGGGGTGGGGGAGTGCAGGGCAGGGCAGCAGGAGATGACTGCCCAACTAAGGTCTCCTGTCCAGCAGTCCAGCCCACCCCGCTGTGGCCTGCTTCCCTGGCAGGTGCTTGGGCCACAGTGATGGTGCAGTATAAGAACCCAGAGAGCTTGTAGGGAGCTGCTCACCCGCTCCCCTCTCACAGGTGGATGCTGTCCCACGTCCAGGCAGAGCTGGAGTAGGCTGGGACGATGCCGCCACCCTCAGACATTGTGAAAGTGGCGGTCGAGTGGCCTGGAGCCAATGCCCAGCTACTGGAGATAGATCAGGTAAGAGCTGGGGCTGGCGGTTGCAGAGCCAGGCAGCACTGTGGTGCAGGGTTGGGGCGTAGTGTCAGGCAGGCTCTTCTGGCCAAGGAAACATCACTACTGAGTGTGCTCTCTCTCTTCCAGAAAAGGCCCCTGGCATCCATCATCAAGGAGGTCTGTGATGGGTGAGTCTGGATCTCTAGGGACCTGCCATGGGGACCAGTCACCCTAGCAGGCCTCACTGGGAAGCCTTTTTCCTCACACTACAGCTCTGCTGCAAGTACCATGTGGCTGCCTTCTTCCAGGCTTTCCAGCCTGGCTGTGCACTGGCTAGGGCTCCAGCAGCATCAGTGCTGGTTCCTGGGAAGTGGACCTAGCACCTAATGCTCAGGCCCTGCAGCCTGTCTGGCCCTCTGGAGCAAGGGCCTAGCTCGCAGCACAGGTCATGTCTAGCGTGATGACCTTATGTCCCGGTTTAGCCAGGACAATCCTGGATTTCAAAGGCTGGTCGCAGCCGGCTGGTGAGAATCCTGATGGGAGTCCCAGAAATGCAGGGGTGCAGGGTGCTATCTGGCCAGGAGTCAGACCAGCACAGAGCCCCTTGCAGGCAGGCAGACACCACTGCCTGCCTGGCACACAGCCCTACCCCTGCTGACTTGAGAGAGCACTTGAGGGGCAGTGTCCTGAATTTCTGGGATTTCCATGTGGTCAGCCTAGCCACACCAGACTCTCGCCCAGCTCCCAGCCCTGATCAAACTGGGACCCAGGGATTCTCTCCAGAGTCAGAGCATCTCCTCAGGGCTTTTCTCCAAGCCTCTGTTCTACCCACCCCAGTCAAGCTCCTGCCCTGGGCCTAGAAAAAGGCTGCTCCAGGCAAATGCAGGGCTCCATGTGTCGTTCCTCTCCCCCAGGTGGTCGCTACCAAACCCTGAGTACTACACACTGCGATATGCCGACGGGCCCCAGCTATACATCACGGAGCAGGTCAGTGATGGGCTGTGGCTGGCTGCTCCTGGGAGGGGGTTGGGGGGGATATTGGAGCAGTTGCAGTCCTGGTTCCCAGGGGAGGAAGGGAGGGACATCCCCTCTGTGTCCATTAACCAAGGAGACATCCGTGAGCCAGTGCAGTTCCTGTCTGGGATACTCAGCTTTCCCCTCTGCCGCATGCATGCAGCAAAGTATCCCATGACTGACTGCATTTCCACTCTCCGCCTGCTGCTGCTGCTCAGAGGCTTCTCTGTCCCCCTTGCAGACTCGCTGTGACATCAAGAATGGGACCATCCTGCAGCTGGCTGTCTCCCCGGTACGTGCCTCTCGGCGTCCGTTCCTCTGCTCAGCCTCTCCCCAGTGCAGGGTCTTCCCTGCCCTGTGAGCCCACTGTGGTGGCTTGGCACTGCTGGGTCGTGCTCTCATGCGCCACTTGCCATGGGGTGCGGTTCTCCTGTTATCGCTGTCCCTGGTGGAAGCACCCCTGTGTGCTGTAGACAGACAGTAGCCTCCCTGCAGGGGCTCAGCCTGTTAGGGAACGCTACTTCTCAGTAGCTTCGGGCAACTTGACCCATTGGGCTGTCTCCCTGGATAGCCCCTGAAGCTTCCCCTGCAACTGCCTCTAGCCTCCCAGGCATCATGTTTCCCAGGCGGTGAATGCATGAGAAACCTTAGAGATTTTCCTTTGGAGCAAAGACAGGTTGGTGGGCCCTGCATGTCTTTAACCTTATGGTTTCAGCGACTGCACCTTCCTCCTCTCTAGCTGCCCTCTCCCCCCATCCCTCATGCAGGGTCCATGGAAGGGAAATGGGCAGTTTGTCCAGGATTAGAAAGAAACACTGACACACCTGCCCTTAGCCATGGTTACCGCAAGCTGTCAGTAGCCCCAAGTCCAGCTAGGTGCAGCTGGACAGCTGCTTCAATTCTGTTGGAGCCAGTAGCTCTCTGGCCGTGGTATGTTCCCTCTGCCTAGCTTCAGACTTGTGCAACTGTTGGTGTTCAGCTGCGGGTGACCAGTGAGTGACCAGCCGGGTCCCTCTTGTTCCCAGTCCAGGGCAGCTCGCCAGCTGATGGAGAGGATCCAGTCACACAGCATGGAGGCCCGACTGGATGCTATGAAGGAGCTGGCAAAGCTCTCTGCGGACGGGACCTTTGCCACAGAGTTCATCAACATGGAGGGCATCACAGTGCTGACACGTCTGGTGGAGAGCGGCACCAAGCTCCTGTCCCAGTAAGCATAGTATGACACCACAAATGGTTAATTGTGGCTGAGCTTCCGCATCTAGCTCTTGTTGGCAGCTACCAATGTCACAGCTGCCTTAAAAATAGCATCACCTGTTATTAACACCCAGGACAAAGGAGACAGTAGCAGCTTTGGGCACTCCAAATAGCAAAGTTAACCCTTGTTTAGGAGTTGCGGCCACTTCTCTTCCCTTTTCAAGTTTTCTGGGATAAAATTCATTTCCTCCTATCCATTAGATGTTGTTAAAAGATGGTGTCAAATGTTCTGGTTGGGGAAGTCAGCGGGAGATCGTCCTGTCTAGTCTTGCTGAAACTGGATCCTGCTCTGTTCTCTATTTAAGGCAAGGCAAGGCCACTTGGCACAAATTAGGAGAAAAGAACAACATGTTGCAGCTTCTGACTGGAAGAATTTTCCCTCTGCAGTCTGGTTGGGGGGAGAGCATGGGCCCATTTCACTCTTGTACTAGCTACAAGGGCACCTGGCAGACTTCTGCATGGTTATGGCATTAATCAGGTTCACAGCAATTTTCCTGGTTGGTGAAGCCAGACTTGCTAAACAGATGTCAGGAAGAGAAAGACGGAGGGGAGGGGAGATAGAGCAGGGAGGTGAGAGGACACGAGGGGACTGTGATGGCCAAAGCTCTAGTCTGTGGTCTTGCTGTTGATCGGGACTCCACTGAACCAAGTGGAGATTTGGCAATGGTTGTTTCCTGTCCCCAGCTGCCCCCTTGTCTCAGACGGGACAGAGCAGCTATCAGGAGCAGGATAATGAGGTCCAGCAGCAGGATGGTCAGGGGCTCATCCCAGGCAGGCTGGTGGGGGTGACACAGCCATAGCCATTTTTAGCCCAAGCTCAACTCCTTTGCCTCAACTCCTACTGGCTGTTTACCTCCTTAAAGCAGCTTGGGATGTAGCAGGTATCTGCACAGCAGGTCTCATGGCTGGGGGATCCTGCCTGAAACAGAACAGCTCAGTATGTTTTCCAGGCTGAGCAGGTACCTTCTGGCATGACTGGAGCAGCTCAGATGGGCACTGTGGGGACTGGCAGTGCAGGGAGAGAGTGAGGGTACACTGGGCTTATTGCTGACTACTAGTATTGCTTGGTACTTGCAGCACATCACACAAGAGCCACATAAAGGCCATGTTCCCTGGCAGGTTCTGACACCTTGGCCCAGGGCAGGGGAATGGACCCTCAAGGTGGGGAAGGGTCTGGAACAGAATGAACAGGGGCATTGTCCTGTAGCTTTCTGAGAGAGACTTATCTCACCCATTTGCAAGAGCAGCGCTTCTCCTGTTAATAGCATTGGGTTGCCTCATCTCTAGCTGCACTCCCTCCCTTCTCTCAGCTACAGTGAGATGCTGGCATTCACTCTGACGGCCTTCCTAGAGCTCATGGACCATGGCATTGTCTCCTGGGACATGGTCTCCATAACGTTCATCAAGCAGGTGAGGCCCCAGCAGGAGGAGATGGGGGTGGGGAGGGGGCTTGTGTGAGCAGCAGAGGGGTGGCCTAGGGGGCAGGGAGCAGGGTTTGCTGCAATGTGGCAGGTGGAAGGCTAGAGCCAGGACTGGTGCAGAGCCATGGTGGAAAAGAGATGGCATGGGTGTGGCTCGTGGGAGACACAGGACACAGTGCATCAGGAGGATGCCCACATGTCGTCAGGCAGGAGGTGGAGTGGAGCAGAGAGTGGATGTCAGGGGAGGGTGCAGTGGGAGAAGGGCACAAGATGGCAGCACATGGAAGGAATGTGAAGGTAACAGTGTAGCTCCAAATGGTGGAAAAGGCCCAAGGGAAATATCTCTGTGGCAGGTTGGATTCAGAGTCAGAAGGGATAAGAGATCTCGCTGCTGCCTGGCCCCACAGTTGGAGTCTGTGTGCAGCTGGATGCAGCATGACATGGTGCTCATGTTGAGAGTTCAGGGTGTATCTCACCCCAGCCCACTGGGTCCTACCCTTTCTGGCTGCTGGCATTGAAGCACTCCAGCTTGGCTCCAGGGTGGTCCTGTGCTGACCTGCTGGTCTTTAGATTGCAGGGTACGTCAGTCAGCCCACACTGGACGTCTCCATTCTCCAGCGGTCGCTAGCCATCCTGGAAAGCATGGTGCTGAACAGCCATACTCTGTACCAGAAGATAGCAGAGGAGATTACCGTGGGTCAGCTCATCTCGCACCTCCAGGTGTGAGTATTTGTCCATCTTGGGCAGAACTAGTTGTACCTGCTTTGCAGATCTCTGCTGTATTTGAACGTGTGTCGTCATTTAAAATTGATAAAAATGCCATCCTAGATGTCACTGGTAGGGCGTCTGATCTGAGCTTCACAAATCTGCTGAAAAGCAGGAGAGAGATACTGGGGAATTAAAACTTCTGCTCTGAAAGCACTTAAGCACGTGAGTAATTGTACTCCTGTGACTAGAATCATTGACTTCAGCTGCATTAATCATGTGTTTAATGTTATTCAGATGCATAAGTGTGTTCATGATTGGGGAGCCAAACTGTGTTTTTATTCCAAACTTTTCACTTAAATCCAAAACGGCACCGAACCTGTCGCCACGGAACAAAACAGCTTTATTGTTAATGGAAAGTTGTTTAGATCCTCAGTCCATTAGTGAGGTTCAAATTTATAAACTCTTTGTGTACATGCAAATATTGCTAGTAACATATTCATATTTCATAATGCAATGCATTAAACATAATAATCATGATCCAGGATTAAAACTCACCAGCCAGTTGCCATGGAGTACTACTATTTACATTCAGGGGGAGTGCTTCTGTGCTTTCAGAATTACAATACCTGAGAAGTAAAAGCACCTTAAGGCCAGTTAGATGTGTGATGAGCTTCCTCTTCTAGAACATTTTCATTAATGGTCATGGCTCAAGAAGTAGGAGTATACTTCCAAACTTTGCTGATGAGACAAAGCTGGTATCATCAGTCCAGAGAAAAATAGGACTATGACAGAGGAAGAGCTGGATGACCTTGAACAATTCCATTTCAGCCCATTTCCATCACTCCAGTCCTCAGAGTGGAAGGTCATGTGCTTAAGGGCTAACAAGAATTTCTGCTGTAAGCTTAGAGCAGCTCATCAGGTGGAAACAGCAGAGGAAGAGTGACACCCGGGAGTATTATTTAATTGAAGGTTGACCCTGAACTGCTAAAATGATGCTGCCGTGGAAAAGACAAATGCAATCCCAGGATGTCAGGCAAGGTGTTTCCACTGGAGACAGAAGTACGAATGCCATGGGACAAGGCCCTGGTGAGACCATCTGGAATCCTGGGTACAGTTCTGGTCCCGCGTGTCCAAGGATGAATCAGAATGGTGCAGGTGTAGAGAACGACACTGAGGCTGATCGGGGCAAAGGAAGGCAAATGAATATTAACTGGCTACAAGTAAATCCAGAATGGAAATTAGAAGATGATTTCTAAGCATCAGAGCAGCAAGGTCTCCACAGAACCTGAATAGTTTTACACTGGAGATGGTGCAGCTTATGAATGGGATTGTCTGACCTGGTGCCCGCTATGGCAGGGGCAGGACTCAGTGGTTCAGGAGGTTCCCTCCAGCCCTGTGTCATCTTGTGCTTGCACTTGGATGCCCCAGGGTAGTTGTGAAATAATTTAATTGCACAGTCCCCTGTCCTGCAGCTGGAGGATCCATTTGAGCACAGCCCTGTGGAAATCAGGGGACTTCAGGTATGTAGGACCCTGCCTGTGTGTACAGCTGGGACCACAGGCTGCAGTCTCCTTCTGGGTCTCTGGAGGGTCATTTCAGAATGGTGGCTGCCTGGCACATTGTTGACACATTTTCTTGCCAAGCTCTGTCCAGTTGGCAGCACTGGCTATCCTGGAAAGTCACATGGCACTCAACACCTCTCCCTTTCATCTTCTGACTGTATCAGTAGTGATCCATCATCTGTTTAGATGTGGCTGACTAAAGCTATGTGCTTGTCATACCAGCAAATGTCACCTCTCTCAGTAATGTCCGCACCGCAAACGAGTTAGCTGTGAACATCACATCCCCTCTATGTTTGTACCCATGCACTTGCAGGTGGTTTCTGAAGACATTTAATCTTCTTTTGAATCACCGGATCCAAAAGACATATCCAGAAGCGTTTTGCCCCTGAAAGCCCCGAAGGAGGACCACAGCCTGGTTGAAGCATTTCACATGTCTGGCCTTGGGGCTGTGGAAAGGTTGGCGGGTGGGGGGTGGTTGCAGACCTAGTGCAGGATGACTTATTGATCTCCTCACCCTGTGTGTGCTGTTCTGATGGCACAAGATGAGGAAGGACCCAATCAAGTGCAGCTTCATGCGTGAACTTCTCAGAAGAAAACTGCTCTGAAAACCAGAGATTTTACAATTAGAAAACTGTGGTACAAAGCCTCTTCATTAGCAGTAGAAGGCTGCAAAATGAGAAGGAAGTACAGAACTATCAACAGCTTCTGAAAATGGGGAATGTTTTGGGGTTTTGCCAAGATGAAGAAAACCAAGGGTGAGCATTTAAGGAGTCAGCCAGACTCCTTCCCTTACCATTCCCTGGCTATGTTTCTGCTGTAGGCTGCAGGGGAGGAGGGAGACTGAACTTGACTTAGGCATCAGAAATCATTGAGCTGTGGCATCCAGCTTCTCAGCAGGGTAAACTGGCCAGTAGTGAGATTGTGCAGCTCCAGCCAGGCTTCTCCCAGGACCCGTGCTACCCAGGAGGTTCTGCACTGCACTGAACTACAGACTGCAACATGGACATGCTCCCTAGCCAGTCAAAGTCTGTTGCCTCTGGCCAGAGCAACATCTCTGTGCCTGGTCTCTGCAGCTCTGAGTAGTTTGGTGATTTGCTAGTAAACATGCCTGGGTCCCTTCTGCCCTAGGCAGGGTAGGGAAGCTGCAGGCAGAAGTGCTTTCACAGGTCCCAGAGTGTGAGAGACAACCCAGGTAACAGCCTGTCCCCCATCTGCTCTGCATGCTTCAGCCATGCTCACCTCTGCTTTTCCATCTTTGTGCCCCTGCAGCTCAAATCAGGAGATTCAGACTTATGCCATTGCCCTGATCAACGCCCTCTTCCTGAAGGCACCGGAGGACAAGAGACAGGTCTGTGCCCACTCTCTAGCCAAACCTCTGGCCCTGGTTAATAGCAGACTGCACATCTGCACCTGCAGCACTAGAGAACCACCCCTGCCCTGGCAAGGGTGCCCAAGCCCTGCCCAGATCTGTCAGTCCTTGCAGGACATGCATCCGCAGGGCAGCACTGGGGTTGAGTTCAGCAGTTTCCAGAGGAGTGATGGCAGGGGGTGTCCAGCAGAGGACTAGGGCTGCGTAGGGGCAGCGTGCCAGGCCTGTGGAGGCGCAGCCCCAGCAGGAAGGCAGGAGAGCACCCTGGGCTGGGGAAGAGGGAGCCACAGCAGTCCCAGGGTCTCCCTCCATGGTGGATGTTTTCTGTGTGCATGTGCCTTATGAGGGCCCCACAGAGCCCACATGTATGAGCAGGACTCCTGCTTGCGTGGGCACCCTGAGGGGAGGCCTGGTGTGTGCATACGTCTGCTTCCTGTAGCTTTGTTCTGTGAACCTTTGTCCTCCAGGGCCCTGTTTGTACCCCTTTCTCTGGGCTCTGAGCTAAATCCTCTGTCTGCTTTGTGCCTTTTGCTTTCTGCCAGCAGGACAAGCTCCTTAACCCGCTAGACCTGCCTGTCACTGTAAGTAACTCCAAGCCGGGGCTGGGTCAGGCACTTGCTTAGCTGTAGGCACGGAATAGAAAGTTTTTTCTCTGGTTCAGTCTCCTAGGGCCAGAGATTTGGAGCACAGGGGTGGGGGACTATCAGGGAGGGAGGGGGCGGATGGGCCTGGGGATGTGCCGGAGGCCCAGTGGCATTAGCCGGCCCACAGACTGCTGACAGTAATGTTCTGTAAAGGGTTCTTTGCTCTGGAAAGCTTCCAGGCTGGTGTAAAAGCCATTCAGCTAAACTGATGTTCAAAGCGAGCCCGTTCCACAGAAACAGGCCAGGCATCCTGAGCTGCCTGCAGTGGAGCCTGTGCCACCACTCCTTTGGTGTACAGCAGATTTAAACCCTTCCCATGTGTGCTTAGGGCTGTAGCCTGGGTCCTGCCTAGTTGGGCCATGCTGTGTGGTGGCTGCTCTGTGGGGAGCTGCCTTGCAAGGAGCTGTAGGCTTCCCTCTCTACGTGCCGTGTACTGGAGCGTTCCAGCTGGAGGCTTCTGGGGGCTTTGCAGACTTTATAGCAGTAGAGGGGTCTTTGTGCCTGCTCAACATGAGACCCCCTCTCAGGTAGGCCCTGGGGAGTCTACAAACCCCAGGCAAGATCCCAGCAGAGAAAGGGGATGAATTTAGCACCTCAGGTGGAAGGCTCAGGAGGAAAGACATAACTACCTGGGTAGGAATTCTGCGGGGGCACTAGGCTTCAACACGCAGCTTGTCAAATTCCCAGTGGGATCCTTAATGGCTGCTTCATTTTTCCTGGGCCTCCCATCCCAAGAGCACAGCCACCAGTGACGTGTCCCCTAATGCTGAGCCTGGGTGTTTGGGAAGATATTGCTTGGCTGCAGCTAGGCAGCATGTGTTCTCATGCTTCTACTACTGTGTGTGTCTGGATTGTCTTGCTGTCTCCCATCTGTCCCACTGTTTATCTGCTTTGGTTGCCTGTTGTCTCCTCCTGTGTAGAGGCTGCAAGCTGTTTGCAGCAGGGACACCCATACGTCTGTGTGTTTGGCATTGAGTGCAGCTCGGGCCCTGGTCTCTGACCAGAGTTCATAGGTGCTACTGATAGGAGAGTCGTAAATAAAAGGAAGCCAGACTGACTCATCATCAGGCAGAGTGTCAGTTTGTGAACCGCTTCCTGCAGTTTGCTGGTGCTGGTTTAGGTGTCTCTTACCCAAATGCTTGCTCGTTCTGGCCATAGCTAGCCTGTGAATCCTGCTGAGCTCACACCCCAACACGGGCTGGCTAGACGCCAGTACGTCACTTGGGCTTCTCATAGGGGTTCCTCTCTCCAGCAGTGTGTTGCCAGAAGTGTGATCAGAGCCCCTGGGTGCCTGCTGCCGCGTGCATTCTGTCACGCTCCCTGTGCAGTCTGGCACAAGCTGGGCCGTATTGAGGGGCCGGGTAGCTGGGACAGTGTTGGGCTGCTCAGGATGGTGTGGCCATGTGGCAGCACCTGTGACAAGGGGGGGGGTTGCATTCACTTCCGGTTCTGGGCATGCCCCGCCTCAGAGTGCAGGGAGCCTCAAATGGGCAGTTCTGCCAGGCTCCCTCCAGCTGGCAGCTGGTGCAGCAGGTCTGTCCTTGCATATTGTGAATCCCCTGCCAGGCCTTGCCTGTGCCAGCAACCTTGCGAAATCTTCCCCAAGCCCATTAGCACTGGCGCAGCTCCCCCCCAGTGCAGACGTGGCTGCCCAGTGCTCTCCTCCACTGGCTTGCTACTCCCAGATGCATCTTTGTGGCAGGCTCGTGTCCACCTTGGAACAAGGGACATGCTCAGTGTGCAATGCTTAAATGCTGCCCTAAGGAATTGCCTTTGGGGCTGAGGTAAGGGACACGCAGGCCCAGAGGGAGAATTATGAGAGTGACAAGCTGCTGTTGGGGGGTGGTGGGAGCTGGTGTCATTGTGCTCGGGCTGCCAGGTGCACATACCCAGTGCAGATGGGCTGTTCTTTTCCTGGGAGACCTACAGCCAAGTGCAACCCTGCATGAGTCGGAGCATGCCTCCCCAGCTAACAGGCCACTGGCACGGTCTTGTTTGTCACCCATGGTGTGTTCCCCACAGCCAAAGGTCTGACACAGGCAGGAAGCAGCCAGCCTGAGCTCCCTCCCCAGACCACCCAGTGCATGCCCTCCTAGGCTGGGGGTGAGCCATGCTGCACTGGCTGCTTCCAGTGCAGCGATCCACATTGCTGACCCATGTTGCTTAGCTTTCTGTCTCTTCCCACAAGAGGCCGGCTTGGGTTTTGTGTTCTGCTCACATTCCTTTTCTCTGAATTCCTGACAGGAAATGGCCAATGCATTTGCCCAGAAGCACCTGAGGTCCATCATCCTAAATGTGAGTGGGTGCCAGTAGCTCCCAGCCCTTGCTGAATGGTGCCTGGTTTATGCTGAACATAAATCCTGCTGCCCTGAGGGTATTTGTGGGAGTTTTTGCCTGTGGAGAGTGGAACTAATGCCACTTGCTCTGGAGAGGGGAGAGCTCTTGGTGTTTCCTCCTCCTGGCAAGGGTTTGCTCTTGACTGAAAGCAGCTAGTGTGTGGGCAGCTGGCAGTGCTGGGTCCCTGCCCCCTGAGGGGGCAGCAGCCTGGCATGCCCTGCAGCACACAGCAGGGAGCAGTGCATGTTTTGCTGTGTTCACTCATGCCCCTGCCCTCAATTGTTGCAGCACGTGATCAGAGGAAACCGCCCAATCAAAACTGAGATGGCACATCAGCTGTATGTGCTGCAGGTGCTGACCTTTAACCTCCTGGAGGAGCGGATGATGACCAAAATGGACCCTAATGATCAGGTTGGGAAGCTTCAGTGGATTCTGGAAGGGAGGGTGGATTTCCCTGGGCTTCACAAGCTGTCCCTCCTCCACAACGAGGGTAGACGCTGGCACTCCTAGCATCTTCCCTGGGCGCGCAGAGTGTGGGCCCTCGGGACAGCATGCTGGGGCAGAAAAACATTGCCAGTGTCACCACTGACACGCTTCCTCTGCTCCTTAGGCACAGAGAGACATCATCTTTGAGCTGAGGAGAATCGCTTTTGATGCTGAGTCTGACAGCAACACTGCCCCGGGGGGCGGGACAGAGAAACGCAAAGCCATGTATACCAAGGACTACAAGATGCTGGGATTCACTGTACGTATCTGAGGGCATTGCCGACTGCTGTGCGCACAGTAACAGGTCCCCATCTGAGGACAGGGCTATGGGAGGAGGCTGCTGACTGCAGCACATCACATATCCCCGTTTCCATACCCTGGGCAAGGATGTCTCCTGAAAGGAGCTCAGATGAGATGGGTTCTTGGGCCTGATTGTTGTGGGCTCGCTGCCAGGGTCTGAGCTGTACTCTCCTGTGTGTGGTGCATGAGGGTCCCATCAGAGGACCCGGGGTCTTGTGTGTGAGTTGCACATATGATTTTGTACAAAGCCACAGAAGCAGTGAAGCATCAAGGAGAATTGATGGGGAGGTGGGCATTTGCGTGTGCTCTGCTGGACTGGCTCCTTTCCGGTGGACATCGGAAAGTTGCAGGGGTCCTGTGGCAGGCAGCTGTGGGTGCATTCAAGGGCTCTCTAGGGAGACCCTGGCACTAACCTGTATCTACAGAATCACATCAATCCAGCCATGGACTTCACCCAGACGCCCCCAGGGATGCTGGCCTTGGACAACATGCTCTACTTGGCCAAGTTCCATCAGGACACCTACATCAGGGTAAGAGGGGTGGAAGCCACCTGCAACTCCCCTCCCCTCCTCCCCCACTGGCTGCTGATCACACCCTCTCTTCCCCAGATCGTCCTGGAGAACAGCAGCCGGGAGGACAAACATGAGTGCCCGTTTGGGCGCAGCGCCATTGAGCTCACCAAGATGCTGTGCGAGATCCTGCAAGTCGGGGAACTCCGTAAGTGCCTCCTGCCCTGCACCACCAGCTCCCAGGCACTGTATTCGGGGCTAGGGCTCACCTCCTGTCCCCTCCCCAGAACAGTGCACAAAGCACCCTTCCTGGCCCCAGAGCCATGAGTCTGGAGCTGTGCATGCTGTCATCCACGGAGACCCAGGACCATGTCTATGTGCTGTGGAGCCTGGGGCAGTGCTGCACGGGGCTGGATCTCTCTGCTAAGGGGCAGCAGCAGTAGCAGAGCCCTGTGCCACCAGGTGGAGACTGACCATCAAGACTGGGCTGCACAGCAAGCAGGCGACCCTGTTCCTTGCCAGCTGAGGGGCCCCCAGGGTCAGGCTTGTGTCTTGTATCCCAGGACAGAGTAGCTGCCCCTTGCGCTTGCTCCCTTGTGAATTCCAGCACCCCCTGCCCAGGACACTCATACAGTTAGTTCCCATGTCTCCCTGAAGCCAATGAGGGCCGGAACGACTACCACCCCATGTTCTTCACCCATGACCGAGCATTTGAGGAGCTCTTTGCCATCTGCATCCAGCTGCTGAACAAGACCTGGAAGGAGATGAGAGCAACGGCAGAGGATTTCAACAAGGTCAGTGATGGGCACCTGCTAGGACTGGCACAGGGGACACTTGTGCGCAGACGACCTCAGCTGCCAGCAGGGGTGTGGGGCCATGTCACGGGTGGGCTGTGATGCGGATACTGGTGCAGGAGGGTGGCTTGGCCAGGACTGGTGCTGCTTCCCCCTTCCTGAGCCTGCAGAGCGCACGTGGGTTGGCCTGAGGTCCTGCCTTCCCTGCACAAGCCCCTTGGCAGAGATCAGCTGCCGCTGGGCCACAGGAGGGCGACGCACCTCTTCCCTCCCACCAGGTGATGCAGGTGGTACGGGAGCAGATCACCCGGGCTCTGCCCTCCAAGCCCAACTCCCTGGACCAGTTCAAGAGCAAGCTGCGCAGCCTGAGCTACTCGGAGATTCTGCGGCTACGGCAGTCCGAGAGGATGAGCCAAGACGACTTCCAATCACCGCCCATCGTGTGAGCACCTCAGGGGGGGCTGCCTCCGTGCCCAGGCACGTGACTGTGGCTGCCGGCCACTGTGCTTGTGTCCTGCTCATGCCACTGTGTCTTGTCTTCAGGGAACTGAGGGAGAAAATCCAGCCTGAGATTCTGGAGCTGATAAAGCAGCAGCGTCTGAACCGGCTGTGTGAGGGGAGCAGCTTCCGGAAAATCGGGAACCGTAGGAGACAAGGTGGAGCTCGAGGCCTGGGAGTGGGCATTAATGCAGCACAGGACCACGTGGTGCTGCCGGAGAGGGGCTCTGGGCAGCTGGGGACACTCTGCAGGCCCACCGGTTGCGAGGGACCAGGCGCATACATCCAGGGAACAGCAGTCTGGGTCGCAGGGTGCGGACAGACAAAATAGCACTTCAGTGGAGAAAAATGCATTAGACAAATGCAGCAAGTCCCTAACCTGTGCTGACTTCACCCATCGTAGAAAACTTGGGGAAATTAGGGGTGAACATCCCTGGGTGCAAGCTGCAGGGTTGTGGGTGCAGTCTGGCTGCTTCCATCCTGGGGTAGCTGTTTGCCGAGGTAAAATGGCTATTACCGGCTCCCTGCCACCCAGCTACAAAGTCCTAAACCACACCTACTGCCCCTGGGGCTGTGTGGCCACCCCTTCCTGGCTGCGGTGCAGCATGCCACCCCAGCCAGCTGCACCATGGTCGGTCGCAGCCCCCTCCACCTGCTGTCAGCAGGCAGGCAGCCCTGCAGGGCTGGTGCGAGGGGTTTTGTTGGGAGTGCCACTCACCCCGTGCTGCATGTGCCCGTGTGTTGCAGAGAGGTTCTGGTACTGCCGCCTGGCTCTGAACCACAAGGTCCTGCACTATGGAGACCTGGAAGACAATGCCCAGGGGGAAGTGACCTTCGAGTCCCTGCAGGAGAAAAGTATGTTGTGATTCTTCCCGAGTACTGAGCATGACTTGTAGCGCCCCATCCTCTGCCATCTGACTGCTGGGCACCAGTACTGGGACGGGAGGAGTCTTGGGGCCAAGGCAGTGGTTGGGACTTAAGGGCCAGGGACTAAACCCAGATTCCCCACGTGACCTCTGTACTTCCTACGGCACAGGCTACTTGAATAAACCAGTGTGGTTGGGCCCAGGGGCTCCTGTAGTGAAGGCTGCAGAAAAGGGCAAGGGAAGTGTTTCGCCCCAGCAGGGCCCTGCTTGACTCTCCCTGTTTTGCCTCTAGTTCCAGTTGCAGACATCAAGGCCATTGTCACAGGGAAGGACTGTCCTCACATGAAGGAGAAAAGTGCCCTGAAGCAGAACAAGGTAACTGCTCCCTCCTCTGCCAGGAGGAAGCCCATGCTGCTTGTGGGGCATGAAGGCAGCTGAAGCATGGGAGCCTTTACCAATGGCGCCAGCCCAAATCTGGGCCCCTGGCTCTGCTGCTTTACTCCGAGATGCAGCCAGGCAGGGTGCCTTGTCTCACAGCACCATCTGCCTGGGCCTGCTGCAGCACTGGTTTGTCCTGGAGGGGCCCAGAGCTGTAGTGGATTTGGGTTGAAGGCAAGGAAGGGTGCTGCTGTGCCATCCAGCTGCTGAGTGAAAAGCCTCCTCTCCCTGCAGGAAGTGCTAGAATTGGCCTTCTCCATATTGTATGATCCTGATGAAACCTTGAACTTCATTGCACCTAACAAGTACGAGGTGAGTGCTGAGGAGCCTGGCTAGGAGTGTGCCCACATGCTGGAGCCTGAGAGGAACTAGCTGTTCTCCACTGCGCCTATTTGCAGCATCCTCCTGTTCTCTGCTTACTGCCCCCTTCCCTGCAGAGGCCCAGGGGCGGTTACAGAAACCCAAGGCCTCAGCACAGGCGGGAAGAGCAGGAGAATCAAGCAGCTCAGCAAGGATCCATTATCCTTGTGCCCAGAGCCCCCTGCGCTCCCTGGCCGGCCCTGCCAGCCCAGGGCTTAGCGCCTCTGCAGCAGAGCCGGTGTGCCTGGGTGCTGTGCTCAGCCTCTGGGCCTGCGGCCGGCTCTACTCCCTGCCCGCCCTGGGGTGGTGGGAGGAGAGCACGGCGTCCTGTGGGCCTTGGCCCCCGTCCCCCTGCCTTACCGCAGCTGGACAGAGGGGCTGACCGCGGTTCCCCGTGCTGTAGTGCAGGGCTGAGCCGGGTGCTGACCCCGGTGCCTCGCCGTACTGCATCTGACCGCGGGTTCCCCAGCCCCAGTTCTCCGTCTGCCCCGCAGTAGCGCAGCTGGCCGGAGGGGCTGACCGCGGGTTCCCCGGCCCTTGGCCCCGCGCTGACCCTTGTGCCCTACAGTACTGCATCTGGACGGACGGGCTGAATGCGCTGCTGGGCCGTGACATGAGCAGCGAGCTGACGCGGAGCGACCTGGACACGCTGCTCAGCATGGAGATGAAGCTGCGGCTGCTGGACCTGGAGAACGTGCCCGTGCCCGAGGCGCCGCCGCCCGTGCCCCGCGAGCCCAGCACCTACGACTTCGTCTACCACTACGGCTGACCGGCTG